AATATGGATTAGGAAGTGATAAACAACCTTCGCCTGACTAAACAACCAATGTATGATAAACGCTGTCATTCTGCGGGTCAGCTGATTAACATAAGCATTTCTAACCAAACTCCAGTTGGATTTTAAGCCGGGGGTGGCCTCGAACCTCTGGCAGCCGAGGGCTGGACTCCCTGTTTGAGAAACGTCGCACAAGCAATTGGTTTGTGTTTCCCTTCCAGAAACACAATATTTCACATCGGAAGGATGTCTGACAAAATGTCATCGATCTGAAATACTAACTCACATTATTATTGTTTTGGGTTTTGGAGGATTATTATTAGGCTCTGTGTGGAGTAAGGAAACTTGCCCGAGGTTTCCCGCTGCCTGGAATTGAACTCAGGTCTCTCACTTGCAAAGCGAGTGCTCTAACCACTGAGCTACATGACTACAGGACTTAATCCCCAATCTTGCACACAATCTCTCTCAATCACACTCTCTGCCCCTCTCAATCTCTTTCTCTCTGACCCCTCTTTGACTAATTCTTTCTTTCAATCTCTTTCTCCCCTCTCCCACCGCCCTCTCTTACCTCCCAATCACACACTATCTCTCTCCTCTCTCACAATCACTCTCATCCCCTCTCTCTCTCTCTCTCTAAATTACTCTCTCACTCACACCCCCCCCTCACTCTCTCTCTCCCCTCTCACAACTCTCACACTCTCTCTCTCTCTCCCCATCACCTCACTATGCTCACTCCCCATCTCCCTGATATTCTCTATGTCAATCACTCTATCACTGTCTTTCAACCACTCTCTCTCATGGCTGCCCTGTTGGACCACCCTGTAAACCAGGCAATAAATGTCTGGTTCCAACACTCACACTCTCTCAGCGTCGCTCTTTGTCTCTCACTCACAACCAGTCTCTATATTTGGAGTCCTGTAGCTCAGTGGTTAGAGCACTCGCTTTGCAAGCGAGAGACCTGAGTTCAATTCCAGGCAGAGGGCGAAACCTTGGGCAAGTTTCCTTACTCCACACAGAGCCTAATAATAATCCCTCCAAAACCAAAAACAATAATAAATTGGTCATTTTCAATCTACGACTGTTTGTGGGACATTGCTGTGCGCCATTGGCTGCCGTGTTCGTCCACAAATATACAATCAATTCACTTTACAGTATATTCTGTGAAGCGCTTTGGGACGTCCTCTCGACGTGAAAAGCGCTATATCAAATGCAAGGATTATTATTATTATTATTTGCCTTTCTTCTGATTCAATCTGGATTCCAGCGCATTGGGACATCCTCCCGACGTCAAAGGCGCTATTCAAGTGTAAACTTGTTGTTCAATGCACGACAGAGCGAAATGGTGGGCAAGTTCCCTTACCCCACACCTCTGTTTGCATAGCAGGAAGTATGAACCCATTTGTTATTCAATTGGCAGATCGCTTTATTGGGGGTAATAATTCCTTCAAAAAATACAACGATAATGATAAATTGGTCCCTTTAGTCCACAACTGCTTGTGGGGCGCTGCTGTGCGCAATTGGCTGCTGCATTTCACGCTATCACATGCAAGCATCATTATGATTATTATTATTAATCTCTCTCACTCAGGCTCTCTCTCCGAGTCTCTCACTCTTTTCTCTCACTCAGTATCTCTCTCACTCAGTTCTCTCACTCACTTAGTCTTTCTCTCGCTAACTCACTCACTCAGTGTTTCTCTCTTTCTCTCTCTCTCTCACTCTCACTCAGTCGCTTTCTCTATCTCAGTCGCTCTCTCTCTCTGACCCTTTCTCTTTCACTTTCTGTCACACTCTCTCTCTGTATCAGAGTGACAGGTGATGCGAGAGGGGTATTGAGATCAGACTGAAGCTGGTATTGACCACAGGTGATGATGGGGAGACGTAGAGAAGAGAGAGAACAGTTCATGGCCACCGGCCTCCGCGCTACATTCTGACTGTGGCGTAGACTGGACCCTTGTCCTCACCGGCTTGGCGACGATTCTCACTCCGGTTCCCTAATGCCAGTCTGGCGTAGTGGACGTCAGCGTCCTGCAAACAGGCCAACAATCAGCACATTTGCTGGGGATCGTGGGGAAACATGACCTACCCCCAACTTTCCAGCTATTGGCTCCGTGGTGCGACCCCGAGCCACAGCTCCGTTATGTGTCTGTCGGTGTCTGTTCCTGTCTCCCCCAAACACACGGGAGACCGCAACCCACAGCTATTTTGTGTGTGTGTCCCTCTCCCACCCCCACCACACACCCGCACCCCCACCACACACACTCCCCACCCCCTTCACCACCACCCCCGTAGCTGGGGAATGCAACCCATATGTGTGTGGTTCTCCATCCCGCCCCCATGATTACTGTGGGTATTAACATACCTGAAGGTGAAACACGTGAATTGATCACCGATAAATCGCCCGGTAAGTTAATTGTAACCAATAATAATGATAATAAACTTGTATTTGGGGAGATCCTCCTGACGTGAAAGATACTACACAAATGTAAGTCGTTTACACACACAGACACACAAAAGCAAGCAAACATACATACACACACACATACACGCACACACAAACACCCACACAGATAAGCAAACACATGAAGACACAAACAGACAGACATAAACATACACACATCACATGCGGACACCTACACAGACAAAACCCCCACCCTACCCTACATGTACACAGACACACACACATAAGCAAACACCTGAAGACACAGACACACATATACACATACACCCACACACACAGAACCACACAGACATCCTCCACCACCCCCAAACTCTGCCCCCCCCCCCCCAACCACCGTCCCTCCCACCCCACACACAAACACAGACAAACACACGCATATAAACAGACCAAGCACAGAGCCCTGAGAAAAGCCACACGACACATAGGGCTTGAGCCGCGCTGCACTGAGCCGGGCTGACACAGGGCCTGAGCCGGGCTGACACAGGGCCTGAGCCGGGCTGACACAGGGTCTGAGCCGGGCTGACACAGGGCCTGAGCCGGGCTGATACAGGGCGTGAGCCGGGCTGACACAGGGCCTGAGCCGGGCTGACACAGGGCCTGAGCCGGGCTGACACAGGGCCTGAGCCGGGCTGACACAGGGCCTGAGCCCGGCTGACCCAGGGTCTGAGCCGGGGCTGAATCAATGATCCCGTCCCTACTCAGGCGCTGACAGCATCAGCATCCAAGGCTGCACTCTCCACCTCTCAAAGCCATCAGGAACCTCGGGTTCTGCTCGACCCTGAGCTGTCCTTTCTTCCCCACATCAGCACCACAACTGGCACCGCCTTCCATCGCCTCCGACACATCGCCAGACTACGGCACTACCTCACCCCTCACGCGGCTGAAACTCTGGTCCACGCCTTTGTCACCTCAAGGCTGGACTATGGGAATTCTCTCCTCGTCGGCCTTCCCGCACCTCCCTCCACACTGCAGGTCATTCTGAACTCTGCAGCTCGAGTACTGTCCCGCACCGGACACCGCGACCACATCACTCCCACCCTCGCCCTCGCCTTCACCCTCACCCTCGCCCTCGCCTTCGCCCTCACCCTCACCCTCGCCCTCATTCCCACCCTCGTCCTCACCCTCACTCCCACCCTCACCCTCGCCCTCATTCCCACCCTCGTCCTCACCCTCACTCCCACTCTCACCCTCGCTCGCCCCCACTGGCTCCCCATCGCCCAGAGGATCGAATTCAAGATCCTCATCCTCACCTGCAAGGCCATTCCCGGCCACGCCCCCTCCTACCTCTCCGACCTACTATCCCCCTACCTGCCTGCCCGTACCGTCCGTTCCTCTGACTCCGGTCTGCTCCACATCCCCCGCCCCTACCATCAGTGGCCTTCAGCCTCTCAGCCCCGAGGCTCTGGAACTGTATCCCCAGTGCCTTCGCCGCTTCCTCCCTTTCCTCCGTCAAAGCCGGTCTCAAGACCTTTCTCTTTGACCGTACCTTCAGCTCCCCTCTCGACTCTCTACCCCCTCCTCGCTCCCTCCCTTCCCTCCCCTCACCCTGACCATTTCCCCCTTCCTCGCTTCCCTCCCCTCACCCTGACCATTTCCCCCCTGCTCGGGTCCTGACCCAACTGTTTAGCGCCTCGGGACGTCCTCTCAACGTGAAAGCTGCTCTATAAATGAAATCTTGTTGTTGTTGTTGTACTCACCTCTGGACGCACCGCTCGTGGAGGAATTCTCACCGTCGCATCTGAAACAAACAGAAACGGGATTTAACAGCAGCACATTTCAGTAGCAATTGACATTATTTAATATTATGGTCAATGTTATTAATAATTAAGTTTATAATAATTAATGATGATGACAATCAGGATTATGAGAGAAACAGGAATATATTAATCATCCCTGCGTTTGAAGTAACACCTTATCACTGGTCGAGACGCTTCACAAAATACACTGTAGAGTGAAGACACGTGTGTTTTTGAGCGAGTCACAACATCCAGTTTGCACACAGCAGTGTCCCACAAACAGACATGGAGTTACCGACCCACATTATTCGGGGGATTGTCGAGGAGCTCACTGGGAAATATTAATTTCTCTCTTTGAATTTTGTCGAGGGATATTTATTGCACCTGAACAGACCGATGGAACATTAGTTTAACATCGCATCTGAAGGACAGAACACATGAAGCAGCTTAAGTTCAGAGAAGTGATTTACAGACAGACCCAGGGACAGACACGCAGTCAGACACGCAGACAAGCATACAGTCAGACTGGCAGAAAGGCAGACAAATAGACAGACACAGTCGGAGACACAGTCAGACACGCAGACAAGCATACAGTGAGACTGGCAGAAAAGCAGACAGACAGTCACTCCCAGACAGACAGACAGACTGAGAGAGAAGGGGAGAGCCAGAGAGAGAGAGAGAGAGGCCAAGAGAGCAAAGCCTGTGGTTCGGGGGAGGCCCATGAGCAGGCGATGGGTTGGTGTGGGGGTCGGGCACACGGCTGTGCAGCGCTGTTGGTGACCGACTCCTTTCCCTCTGGGCTCAATCCCGGGGAAGATATCACTCACATGTGTCGGTGCTGCTTTGGGGGTCGCCTCCTGCGGGTACGGCCCTGAAAGAGAAGCAAAGAGAGAGGAGAGCGGTGAATTCTCCGCTGTTTTACTGAGCAGCGCCACAGAGCTCAGACCAGGGCTGTCACAGCGATACACAACAACTACTGTCTCTGGTCTGAGGGTAAAGAGCGGCACTGACACTGACACGAATACTGTTGAAGGAACGGAACAGAAACGAGGGATTCATTGACCGACTTCTGCGCTATCGCTGTCTTTGGTACCGGAGCGAGAGAAGCCGCGCGGAGTTTGATGGTGATCACAAAAGCGGCTTAGACGGCAGAGCCCGAGACTGGTTTGGAGACAGTAAAGCTGGACAACAGGTATGTGGGGGTGTGGATAGGTGGGTATGTGTGTGTGTGTGGGGGGGGGGGGTGTGGGTGTGTGGGGGGGGTTATGGGGCTGTGTGTGGGTGGGTGGGTGTGTTGGGGTGTGGGTGGGTGTGTGTGTGTGTGGGTCTGTGTGGGGGTATGGTTGGGAGTGTGGGTGGGTATTTGGGGGTATGTGTGTGTGTGTGTGTGCGGGGGGGTATGGGTGTGTGTGTGGGTGTGTTGGGGTGTGGGTGTGTGTGTGGGTGGTGGTGTGTGTGGGGGTATGCGTGGGTGTCTGTGTGTGGGGGGGGTTATGGGTGTGTGTGTGAGTGGGTGGGTGTGTTGGGATGCGGGTGGGTTTGTGTGTGGGTGAGGGTGTGTGTGGGGGTATGGGTGTATGTGTGGGTGGGTGGGTGTGTGGGGGTATGGTGGGTGTGTGGGGGTATGGTGGGTGTGTGGGTGTGTGTGTGTGGGTGTGTGTGTTGGGGTGTGGGTGTGTGGGTGTGGGGGGGGGTGTATGGGGGTATGGGTGGGTGGGTATGTGGGGTATGGGTGGGTGGGTGGGGGTATGGGTTTGTGTGTGGGTGTGTGTGTGGGTGGGTGGGTGTGTTGGCGTGTGTGTGTGTGGGTGGGGGTGTGTGTGGGGGTATGGGTGGGTGTGTGGGTGGGTATGTGGGGGTATGGGTGGGTGTGTGTGTGGCTGTGTGGGGGTATGGGTGTGTGGGTGAGCGTGTTGGGGTGTGGGCGTGGGTGAGCGTGTTGGGGTGTGGGTGTGGGTGAGCGTGTTGGGGTGTGGGTGTGGGTGTGTGTGGGGGTATGGGTGGGTGTGTGGGTGGGTATGTGGAGGTATGGGTGTGTGTGTGTGTGGGTGTGTGTGGGGGTATGGGTGTGGGTGGGTGTGTTGGGTGTGGGTGTTGGGGCGCTGACACCATCAGCATCCAAGGCTGCACTCTCCACCTCTCAAAGCCAGTCAGGAACCTCGGCGTTTTGTTCGACCCTGAGCTGTCCTTTCTCCCTCACATCCGCACTACAACTGGCACCGCCTTCCATCACCTTCGGAACATGGCCAGATTACGGCACTACCTCACCCCTCACGCTGCTGAAACTCTGGTCCACACCTTTATCAGCTCAAGGCTGGACTATGGGAACTCTCTCCTCGTCGGCCTTCCCGCCACCTCCCTCCACACTGCAGGTCATTCAGAACTCTGCAGCTCGTGTACTGTCCCGCACCAGACACCGCGACCACATCACTCCCACCCTCGCCCTCACCCTCACCATCACCCTCGCTCGCCTCCACTGGCTCCCCATCCCCCAGAGGATTGATTTCAAGATCCTCATCCTCACCTACAAGGCCATTCACGGCCTCGCTCCCTCCTACCTCTCCAACCTACTATCCCCTACCTACCTGCCCGTACCCTCCGTTCCTCTGGCTCTGGTCTGCTCCACGTCCCCCGCCCCAACCGCCCTACCATCGGTGGTCGGGCCTTCAGCCTCTCAGCCCCCAGGCTCTGGAACTCCATCCCCAGTGCCTTCGCCGCTTCCTCCCTTTCCTCCTTCAAGGCCGGTCTCAAAACCTTTCTCTTTGACCGTACCTTCAGCTCCCCTCTCGACTCTCTTCCCCCTCCTCGCTCCCTCCCTTCCCTCCCCTCACCCTGACCATTTCCCCCTCCTTGCTCCCTCCCTTCCCTCACCCTGACCATTTCCCCCTCCTCGCTCCCTCCCTCCCTTCCCTCACCCTGACCATTTCCCCCCTGCTCGGGTCATGACCCAACTGTGCAGCGCCTTGGGACGTCCTCCTGACGTGAAAGGCGCTTTATAAATGGAATCTTGTTGTTGTTGTTGTTGTGGGTGTGTGTGTGGTTGGGGGTGTGTGGGGGTATGGGTGTGTGTGTGGGTGGGTGTGTTGGGGTGTGGGTGTGTGTGGTTGGGGGCGTGTGTGGGGGTATGGGTGGGTGTGTGGGTGGGTGGGGGAAGCTTGTGTATGGCGGGGATGGTGTGACTGTGGGAAGTGTGAGTGTGCGGTGTGAGTGTGTGCATGTTTGGTGGGGGGCAGTTTGTGAGGGGGGGAAGGGTATGTGGGGGAAAATGTGTGTGGAGCTCGGATGTGTGTGTGGGAGGGTGTCTTAGTTTGGGAAGGGTGTGTGCTTGGGGGAAGGGTGTGTGTGGAGTGAGGGAGTGTGTGGGGAGGCTGTGTGTGGGTGGCGGGAGGGTGTGTGTGGTCAAGCGTATGTGTGTGGGAGGGTGTATGTGTCGGAGCTTATGTGTGTGGGGGGAGGGTGTGCGCGTGGGAGGAGGGTGTGTGTGGAGGGAGGGTGTGTATGCGGATTGTAATGGGGCAAGAGTGTGTGGGGGGAGGTTGGGTGTGTGGGAGGGTATGTGTGGGTAAGTGTGTAGGAGGTGAGTGTATGGGGGAAGGTGCTTGTGTTTCGGGGAGGCTGTGTGGGGGGAGGCTGTGTGGGGGGGGGCTGTGTGTGGGGAGGCTATGTGTGGGAGGGGTTGTGTGGGGGGCAAGTTGTGTGTGGGGAGGCTGTGTGTGGGAGGGGGTGTGTGGGGAGAGGCTGTGTGTGGGAGGGGTGTGTGGGGAGGAGGCTGTGTGGGGGAGGAGGGTGTGTGTGTGGGGGGAGGAGGAGGTTGTGTTTTGTGGGAGGGTGTGTATGTGGGAAGCTGTTTGTGGGGGGAGACTGTGTGGGGGTAGAGTGCGTGTGTGTGTGTGGGGGGGGAGAGGGTGTGTGGAAGGGTAGAGTGAGGGGTAATGTGTGACTATGGGTGAGGATGGATTTGTGGGGGAGTGTGGGTATGTGGCGGAGTGTTTGTGGGGAGGGATGGGGTGGGGGGGGAGCGTGTGTGCGTTGGGGGTGGAGGGTTTGGGGAGAGATTAGTGTAGAGAGCTCCAATGGGGGAGAGGGCACCAGCACAGACACGAGAGAGCACCAGCACAGCAGCGAATGGGATTAGAGGCGAAATATTCTTACATTGGACTCTTCTGTTTACCTGTAAGTACAAAATGTAATAAATGTTAAAATTCTTCAGTAGCGGTTGTGCGTAGTTGTGGTTTTATTAATAATAACTCTTCATCCAGCGTCAAAGCCCTCCAGAGGCAGTCGTGGCCAAGAGCTGTTTACTCTCCCCTCATGACATTTTTGGACGATCTTTCAGCCACTCCACTCCCACTCTCTGGAAATCAATCCCAAATTCCCTCTGGTTTACCCCTCACTCCCGCTCTCACACCTCAACACCTATCTCTTCAATCCTGTCTAACATTATCATCGCTATTCAGTGTCACACTCAACATAAATCGTTGTTATAGTTTATTGTATTCGCTATATTATGTTTTATTATGTTTTATTATGTTTTGTTGTGAAACATAATCTGCTGACGGTTGTGGAATTTGATTTGCTTTTTGGTACAGAACGTAACAGGAACGACATCTGCTCAGATTGTAGATGGATATTCACCGCTTGCATTGGCTTTGACCAAAGTAAAATAACAATAAAAATCCTTCCATAAAATAGAGCGCCTGATAAAATAGTAATTCTTGCAATTGAATAGCACCTTATCATGACTTCAAGACATCTCAAGGCACTTCAGATTATACTGTAAAGTGAATTAACTGTACATATTGGGCGAAACGCGGCAGTGCCCCACAAGCAGCTGTGGATGGAGTCACCAATTTAATCTTTTTTTTGAAGGAATTAATACCCCCGGAAAATCAATAATCCAATCGACTAACAACCGGGTTCCTGCTGACTGCTCAGTAAACAGACGCGTGTGGAATAAGGAAACTTGCCCAACATTGCGGGCTGCTTACAAACAAAAAAACCATGAACCCAGGTCTCTCGCTTCCGAAGTGAGTCCACCACTGAGCTACAAGACTCCTTGCCACCTGCCTCGTATCGACTTGTTGAGGTGTCTCAATGAGCTTGATAGGATATACAGAAAGTGTAGTGACTGTGCATTTTCGGAACATACTGCAGCAGCCAACCGCACGCATCTGTGTCCCGCAAACATGGAGCGAGCAAACATGTCCCACTCCTCATGGAGCAGGTGACCAATTTTATGGATTTTTGACCAGGACATCAGGAGACAGAAACTCCCTTCTCTTTTCGAATAGCGCCATAGGATCTTTAACTTCCCCGTGAACTGGCAGATGGGAACGCGGTTTAACGGTCTCACCGGTGTTACAGACTCACGACTTCAACATTAAACCAACACTGTGACCTGCAGAAGTTTCTACACCTGCGATCTGTCACTTACAACGCTTTGAATCCGAAAGGATGCTTCTCTACAGCCTAAGCACCTCAATAGTGTCACGAGCTCTAAGTCCAGTCTAATACTGTACATTGTCTATGGTGTTAACATAAACACAGACATGTCTGTCTGACTCAGCAAGCGCGATGCTGCCTGTTGTCTCCTGGTAATGTGCAAGTTGTGAAACACCGAGTATTGGTTTTGTAGCTCTGTTATCAGATTCCTATCTGCACATTGACAAGAACAACATCAACACCAACTTGTATTTATATAGCGTCCCCTCAAACAAGGTAGCGTCCCAGAGCGATTAACATTAACATAGAAGGGCAGCAAGACACAGTGGTTACCTCCACTGCTGGCTCTTACTTTATTCCCAACAATTATACGCTATATTCAATGACATTCATGGCCACTTACGTCTCTTGTACAGACAGAATCCCAGTATAAACACAATGATCGCTAACGCAGTGACAATTCCCGCAGCCAGTACTGCAGTGTGCATCCCGGTCCAGGTTCCTAGAGGGAAAATGCACAAATAGTAATTTCTCGACTTTGAAGAGCTAATATGGGGGAGAAACTCATCATTGTAAAGACGTCACTTAGGTTTTATCTCCCCTGATGTGAAAGTGCGACAGAAAGTCATGTTTTCTCTGTTCCAATGAAAATAGCTCATGTTTTCCTAGTCTGTGCTCATGAGGCAAGCCTCTCGCCCCCTGACCCTGGGGAGGGGGAGCTTAGCAGGGTCTCTTTGAGGGATGTGCTGGTCACCTGCCAAGCTGTGGAAGACCGGATTCAAGTGTAACCTTGATGGTGGTCTCCAGTCCGGGTCTGCAGTATTCCAGGGCTCAGTTGATGACAGCACGGCCCGGCCTGGTGCTTAATGGCAAGAGGTTGAGGAACAGATCGATCACTGGAAGCGCGATTCTTCCACCTCAGTTCCCAAGAATACCCCAAGATAGTGTGCGCATTTTTGGTGGTCCTCGCTGGACATGAAGGCGTTGTGTACCCGATCGCAGTCAATGACAAGCAGTGTGGTTTAGATGGTTAAATATCAGATGTTATGTAACAGCAGGATCTGGGTTGGCCAAAGCTTGTCTCAGGGAACAATACAATACACCTTAAAGTGGTGATGATTAGAACTGCAAGAGCGTCTCTCCCGCTGGGAAAAGGAGAGGGAGTTTCCACCCCGGATATCCCGTGTGGGGATCACTCGGGAATTCGGGTTTGGAAAATATTTTACTGCAGGGATGGGTTTCCTCCCGGGGTCAAACACTCCAGCTATCACTAGGAGATAACATGGAAATGTGATCGATGGTGTAAAGAGTGGTTATAACAGGAGCTGCTGTAAATGGTCAAAACACAAACAGGTTACTCAGGTCTTACCCGACACAGAGATTCCCAATCGCTCGCTCTCCGGTGATGTGAAATCTCGGCCGTCTATAACAGTAGTATAGTTACAGGTGTAGTTTCCTGCACTGATCTCGGATATGGTGAACATTGCTGTCTTGTTATTCTCTGGAGTTGTTTGTGATATGATAAACTCGCCGTCTCTGTATAAAGAGAAATTGCTGCTAACATAATTGCCAGAACATGAGATCTCAGCGCTTTTCCCTCTCACAAACTGCCGGGAATTTGGCTTCAGAGAAATGTTGGGTTTCTGGAGCGGATCTGGAATTAAAACACAGTCAATATAATCTCACAAAGCTCGCTCTGTGATATGAAGACAGTTCAGATCAGAGTGAAAATAAACATTTGCTTGTTTCCCAGCCTGGAGAGGTGTCAGGACAAGGGTGAGAAGTTGAGGGGAAGGTTCAGGACAGAACCCGGCAAGTGCTTCTTTACACAGAGAGAGGGGGAACGACGGCTGGGAATGGGGTGGACAAGGATGGCGGTGAGACCGCGGAGTGGGGTAACACACAGCTCCAGCCTGGGACGGGAGGACGGGAATTCAGTCTGAACCTCTTGTGTGATCTTCAGACATTTTATAAACAACAGTATAAGATCACATCAGGGGATCAAACAGAGAATTCAGGAGCAACGACTTCACACAGAGGGGAATAAGGTCGTGTGACTCACTGCTCGAAGCGGTGGTGGAATCAGACAGTAAAGGTACATTCAATATATTCAAGAAGAAGTCAGACCTTCACAAGAGGAAGAGGGGAATAGTGGGTGTGGGAGGGAGTGAGGCTGTTTGAGGGAGTGAGGATGTCGAAGAGAGCACGTGGGAAGGATGGAGGAACACACGGTGTGGGAGTGATAGTGGAGAGAGTGAGGGAGAGGGGAATAGAGAGTGTGGGAGGAAGAGAGGGAGTGGGTGACTGGGGAATAAGGGTAAGGGAGGAAGGGAGGGATTGTGGCAGAGGGGAATAGAGGGTGGGGGATGAAGTGAGGAATATAGGGTGTGAGAGGGAGGGAGTGAGGAATAGAGGGTTGAGAGGAAGGGAGGAGTGGGTTAGAGGGGAAGAGAAGGTAATAATAATAATAATCTTTGCATTTGAAATAGCGCTTTTCATGTCGGGAGGATGTCTGTATATTTGTGGGCGAACGAATAGAGGGTGGGGTGGGAGAGAGGAATAGAAGATTGGGAGGAAGTGTGGGAGGGAGGGAGGAATACAGGTTGTGTGGGGAAGAAAAGAGGGTTAAGGGACAAGGGAGGAAGGGATGAATAAAGAGTGTAGAGGGAAGGAGGAATGGGGAGAGACTCGTGTCACAGAGCGCGTGGAACAAGAGGAATTATTTTATTAATTAAGAGGAAGGAGGAAGGGGGAGGGGGGTGGAGGGAGTTTGCTGTGATCGCTTTTATTGGACCCAAGTGGACAGCGAGTGACCATTGGTGAGAGAGTCCAGACCCTCGTACTTACCCCACACAGTGATTGCCACTCGCTCGCTCTCTGGTGATGGGAGCTCTCGGCCTCCCACGAGTTCAGTATATTGACACCAGTGATTTCCTGCCCTGATCTCCGATGGGGGGAACGTGGTCGCGTTGCTATACCCTGGAGCTCGTTGTGATGTGATAGACTCGCCGTCTCGGTATAAAGAGAATTTACTGCCGCGATAATTCCCTGAACACGAGATCCGAGGCATTTCCCCTCTCACGAACACCTGGTAATTTGGCTCCAGGGAAATGGTGGGTTTCTGGAGCGCATCTGCAATAAAAACACAGTCAATACAGTCTCACAAACACTCGCTCTGATCTGTGCTGTGACGGTCAATATCAGGGTGGACAGTCAGCCCGGCCACAGCCCTGCGGACTGAGCTCGGGGTCAGTGTGAGCTGCTGGGGGTCAGTGTGAGTTGGGTGGTCAGTGTGAGCTGCTGGGGGTCAGTGTGAGTTGGGGGGTCAGTGTGAGCTGGGGGGGTGGTCAGTGTGAGCTGGGAGGTGGGTCAGTGTGAGCTGTGGGGGAGTCGGTGTCAGCTCAGGCTCAGTTTGGGGTGGGGGTCAGTGTGGGCTCGGGGTCAGTGTGGGCTCGGGGTCAGTGTGAGCTCGGGGTCAGTGTGAGCTGGGGGGGGGTCAGTGTGAGCTGGGGTGTGTCGGTGTGAGTTCGAGCTCAGTGTGGGGTGGTGGTCAGTGTGGGCTCGTGGTCAGTGTGGGCTGGGGGGGTCAGTGTGAGCCCGGGGTCAGTGTGAGCTGGGGGGTGGATCGGTTTGAGATCGGGCTCAGTGTGGGGTGGGGGTCAGTGTGGGCTCGGGGTCAGTGTGAGCTTGTGGTCAGTGTGAGCTCGGGGTCAGTGTGAGGTGGGGATCATTGTGGGCTCGGTGTCAGTGTGAGCTCGGGGTCAGTTTGGGGTGGGGGTCAGTGTGCGGTGGGGGTCAGTGTGAGCTCGGGGTCAGTGTGGGTTGAGGGTCAGCGTGAGCTCAGGGTCAATGTGGGCTCGGGGTCATTGTGAGCTCGGGGTCAGTGTGAGCTCAGTGTCAGTGTGAGCTCGGGGTCAGTGTGAGCTCGGGGTCAGTGTGAGCTCAGGGTCAGTGTGAGCTCGGGGTCAGTGTGAGCTCGGGGTCAGTGTGAGCTCGGGGTCAGTGTGAGCTCAGGGTCAGTGTGAGCTCGGGGTCAGTGTGAGCTCGGGGTCAGTGTGAGCTCGGGGTCAGTGTGGGCTCAGGGTCAGTGTGAGCTCAGGATCAGTGTGAGCTCGGGGTCAGTGTGAGCTCAGGGTCAGTGTGAGCTCGGGGTCAGTGTGGGCTCGGGGACAGTGTGAGCTCGGGGTCAGTGTGGGCTCGGGGTCAGTGTGGGCTCGGGGTCAGTGTGGGGTGGGGGTCAATGTGGGGTGGGTGTCAGTGTGGGCTCGGGGTCAGTGTGGGCTCAGGGTCAGTGTGGGCTCGGGGTCAATGTTGGGTGGGGGTCAGTGTGGGGTGGGTGTCAGTGTGAGCTCGGGGTCACTGTAGGGTGGGGGTCAGTGTGGGCTTGGGGTCAGTGTGGGCTCGGGGTCAGTGTGGGGTGGAAGTCAGTGTGGGGTGGGGGTCAGTGTGGGGTGGGGGTCAGTGTGGGATGGGGGGCAGTGTGAGCTCGGGGTCAGTGTGAGCTCAGGGTCAGTGTGAGCTCGGGGTCAGTGTGAGCTCGGGGTCAGTGTGAGCTCGGGGTCAGTGTGAGCTCGGGTCAGTGTGAGCTCAGGGTCGGTGTGAGTTGGGGCTCGGTGTGAGCTTGGGACCAATGTGAACTCTGGGTCAGTGTGAGCTCGGGGGGTCAGTGTGAGCTCGGGGTCAGTGTGTAGTGGGAGTCAGTGTGGTTTGGGGGTCAGTGTGTAGTGGTGGTCAGTGTGGGGTGTGGTCAGTGTGGGGTGTGGTCAGTGTGGGGTGGGGGCAGTGTGGGGTGGGGTTCAGTCTGGGGTGGGGGCAATGTGGGTGGGGGTCAGTGTGGGGTGGGGCAGAGTGGGGTGGGGGTCAGTGTGGGGTGGGGGTCAGTGTGAGCTCGGGGTCAGTGTGGGTGGGGTCAGTGTGGAGTGTGGGTAAGTGTGGGGTGGGGGCAGTGTGGGGTGGGGGTCAGTGTGGGGTGGGGGTCAGTGTGAGCTCGGGGTCAGTGTGGGGTGGGTGTCAGTGTGGGGTGTGGGTCAGTGTGGGGTGGATGTCAGTGTGGGGTGGGGGTCAGGGTGGGGTGGGGGGCAGTGTGTGGTGGGGGTCAGTGTGGGGTGGGGGGCAGTGTGGGGTGGGGGTCAGTGTGGGGTGGTGGTCAGTGTGGTGTGCGGCAGTGTAGGGTGGGGGTCAGTGTGGGGTGGGGGTCAGTGTGGAGTGTTGGTCAGTGTGGGGTGTGGGTCAGTGTGGCGTGGGGGTCAGTGTGGGGTGGGGGTCAGTGTGGGGTGGTCGTCAGTGTGGTGTGGGGGCAGTGTGGGGTGGGGGTCAGTGTGGGGTGGGGGTCATTGTGGGGTGGGGGCAGTGTGGTGTTGGGGTCAGTGTGGCGTTGGGGGTCATTGTGAGCTCAGGGTCAGTGTGGGGTGGGTGTCAGTGTGGGGTGGGGGTCAATGTGGAGTGGGGGTCAGTGTGGGGTTTGGGTCAGTGTGAGCTCGGGGTCAGTGTGGAGTGTTGGTCAGTGTGGGGTGTGGGTCAGTGTGGGGTGGGGGTCAGTATGGGGTGGCGGCAGTGGGGGGTGGCGGTCAGTGTGTGGTGGGGGTCAGTGTGGGGTGGGGGTCAGTGTGGGGTGGGTGTCAGTGTGGGGTGGGGGTCAGTGTGGGGTGGGGGTCAGTGTGGGGTGGGGGTCAGTGTGTGGTGCGGGTCAGTGTGGGGTGGGGGGCAGTGTGGGGTGGGGGTCAGTGTAGGGTGGGTGTCAGTGTGGGGTGGGGGGCAGTGTGGGGTGGGGGGAGTGTGGGGTGGGGGTCAGTGTGGGGTGGGGGCAGTGTGTGGTGGGGGTCAGTGTGGGGTGGGGGGCAGTGTGGGGTGGGGGGCAGTGTGGGGTGGGGGTCAGTGTAGGGTGGGTGTCAGTGTGGGGGGCAGTGTGTGGTGGGGGTCAGTGTGGGGTGGCGGTCAGTGTGGGGTGGGGGTCAGTGTGGGGTGGGGTGTCTGGTCCACGGCTGTTCAGGTGGAGGTTGCAGATCTCGGGGCAATATTCAAAACCAGAAGGGAATTTCTCGGGATGACTTGGCCGACAATCCCCCAAATAATACTAATCATTCACTTCCAGCAATTGTTCCTTCACACAGAGGGGGAGAGCAATGGCTGGGATTGGGGTGGACAAGGATGGCGGTGAGACCGGGGAGTGGGGTACCACACAGCTCCGGCCTGGGACACGGGGACGCGAACTCAATCTGATCCTCTCTGGTAATCTTCGGATGTGTTTTGACAACAGAATAAGGTCACATCAGGGATCACACAGAGAATTCAGGAGCAGCGACTTCACACCGAGGGAAGTGAGGTGGTGGGACTCACTGCCTAAACTGGGGGTGCAATCAGACAGCGTAGATTCACTAAAGAGGAAGCCAGACATTTACAGGAGGGAGAGGGAAATAGAGGCTCTGGGAGGCAGGGAACATGTGGGAAGAACTGTGTGTGAGGGACACAGCAAAAGTGGGTGTGGGAGGGAGGGCGGAGAGAGTGAGTGTAAGAGAAACAGAGAGTGTGGTAGGAAGAGAGGGAGAACTAAATAGAGGGTACGGAGGAAGGGAGGAAGTGGGATGGAGGGGAATGGGAGGTATGGGTGGAAGTGAGGAATATCGGGTGAGAAAGGGAGGGAGTGAGGAATAGAGGTTTGGGAAGAAGGATGTGGGATGGAGTGAAGAATAAAGGGTGTGAGGGGGAAGAAAAGAGGGTGAGGGGAGAAGTGAGGGATGGATGACTAGAGGGTGTGGAGAGGGGGAGAAGAATAGAGAGTTGGGAGGAAGGGTGTGGGTGGGAGTGTGGGAGGGAGGGAGGAATAAATGATGTGTGGGGAAGAAAAGAGTGCGAGGGGACAGGGAAGGAAGGGATGACTAGAGGGTGAAGAGGGAAGGAATGGGGAGAGACTCGTGTCACAGAGCGGGTGGAACAAGAGGAAGGATGGGGTGGGGATGGTTTGCTGTGATCGCTGTGGTTAGACACGAGGAGGCAGTGACTGACCATTGGTGAGAGAGTCCAGACCCTCGCACTTACCCCACAGAGTGATGGCCACTCGCTCGCTCTCTGGTGATGTGAGCATTCGGCCGTCCACGTATATAGTATATTTGCACCAGTGACTTCCTGCCCTGATCTCCGATGGGGGGAATATTGCTGTGTAGCTGTTCTCTGGAGCTGTTTTGGATGTGATAAACTCTCCGTCTCTGTATAAAGAGAATCTGCTGCCGCGATAATTCCCAGAGCACGAGATCTCAGCGCTTTCCCCTCTCACGAACACCCGGGAATACGGCTTCAACCTCATGGTGGGTTTCTGGAGCGAATCTGGGATTAAAACACCGAAAGATAATCTGACAAACACTGTGCTCAACCCCTCCCACTGCACTCAGCCCCACCCACTGCACTCAGCCCCTCCCACTGCACTGAGCCCCACCCACTGCACTCAGCCCCACCCACTGCACTCAGCCCCACCCACTGCACTCAGCCCCACCCACTGCACTCAGCCCCTCCCACTGCACTCAGCCCCTCCCACTGCACTCAGCCCCTCCCACTGCACTGAGCCCCACCCACTGCACTCAGCCCCACCCACTGCACTCAGCCCCACCCACTGCACTCAGCCCCACCCACTGCACTCAGCCCCTCCCACTGCACTCAGCCCCACCCACGGCACTCAGCCCCACCCACTGCACTCAGTCCCTCCCAATGTGCTCAACCCCTCCCACTGTGCTAAGCCCCTCCCACTGCACTCAGCCCCACCCACTGCACTCAGCCCCTCCCAATGTGCTCAACCACTCCCACTGTGCTAAGCCCCTCCCACTGCCAATCCATCAGTGCTCCCCAACTGCACTGACCCCACCTATATTCACCGATCCCTGTGCAAACCCCACTGTGCTCACCCCCACCCTGTGCTCACCCCCACCCTGTGCTCACCCCACCTGTGCTCACCCCCACCCTGTGCTCACCCCCAACCTGTGCTCACCCCCAACCTGTGCTCACCCCCACCCTGTGCTCACCCCCACCCTGTGCTCACCCCCACCCTGTGCTCACCCCCACCCTGTGCTCACCCCACCCTGTGCTCACCCCCACCCTGTGCTCACCCCCACCCTGTGCTCACCCCCACCCTGTGCTCACCCCCACCCTGTGCTCACCCCACCTGTGCTCAACCCCACCCTGT